TTCTCTTTTTTTCCATACTTGGTAAGCTAACCATTTATCTGGTTTATTTCCTTGTTCATAGAATTTTAGTTTAGTAAAGTTTTTTTTCTCTCTCTCTTCTAGCATGAGTTCCAACAGCTGATTTTGTAGGCTTTTTATCTCTTTAAAAAATTCTTTTTTCCTGGTTTTTTCTCCCTGTGTGTTTAGTCGTTTAGTCGTGTCCGACTCTTCGTGACCCCATGGACCAGAGCACGCCAGGCCCTCCTGTCTTCTACTGCCTCCCGGAGTTGTGTGTTTTCTCCCTAATGTTTTCTAATTTTTTTTCTTGGCTTTTTCTTTATTTTTGTCTCCTTGTTCATATTTTGTTTAAAGTATTCCATTTACCCTTTTGTCCTTTAGAATATTTCTTTCTCTTTAATAAATTAGAAAAATATTTTCACACAGCTGTCTGTAGTTTGGACTGAGAGGATCTGTGGTACTAAAACCAGTCCTTGCCTCGTCTAGTAAATAACAAAATGTGCTTTTAGGGGCCAGTGGTGGCAACTTGACACCAACTATTTATTTTAAAACTGTGTAACTAACAAATCAATTAATATAACACAATTAATTAAATGCACCCATTTCTAATACTAACAGTCAAAAATAATATCCTCATTTCTAACTATTATTGATAAAGAATGAATTTTTAATCCTAACATTCCAAGCTCTGGTAAAATCGCACTGTTTGATATGAGTGCAATGCAATCCTAAACATACTTTTTCCAGGAGAAGGCCTTCTAGCTTCTGTAGGACCGACTCCAATGTAAGTATGTTTTAGGATTATAATTTACAGTAAATTCATATGGCACCATGATAAATGAGTAATTCAAGCTTTTCCACACCAATCAATCATTTTTCAGAATTTAAAACGTTATGTTCAAATACTGTATATTTGACTGCCTACTAAATGAAGAAAGCTAATATTGTACAACATGCTCCAGGACGAAACCTCAATTCTATAAATACATATAAAGAAGTTTAGTAGTATGTCTCTTAAATGATGATGTAGGTCTTTTTAAACCACAAGACATCAGCAGATGCCAAAATCTAACAGTTAAATTGTAAATTTTGAAGTTATTATTTGTAATAAACCATAAATTATTTTCTAAACATTAGTTTCTCACATAGTACGTAATATTTGAACGTGCTGCAGATTCACAGTACTTTTCCCTCTGGGTGCAGAGATCAGTATTGGCCCATGCTATTTTTGTTTGGCTGAGCTATCATCATATATAAATAACTGCTCTATACTATTAGAGGAAGGGGTGCTTCTTAAAACTTATCTCTTAAAGCAAGCTGAAAAGGCAGTTAGCAGTTTGTCAGTCAGCATTATTCATGGGAAAACCCGAAGTGATGGGGTTTTCTGTGACAAAGAATACTTTAACGAGTGTTGGTTAACAGACCCCCCCCCTCCAAATTCATTGTTGTGAATAGAAATACAGTATGGTGAAAATTTGCTCAGATTACAAGTACACCACCTGTATTTGATAAAACAGTTTCCTCATATGATTTCTTGACAAATGCTGTTCTTTACATTGCCAAACAACATCATTGAGAGATATCAGCAGGGTTGTGGAAACACTAAGGTTTGCTGAAGATTCAAAAATCATTTAGGTGATGGTGGGGGACACCTACCAAGCAACCCGCTCTGTAACAACTCAGTGCTCAGAAGACATGGAATGCTGACTCACTTTGTGGAGGGTGGGGTACAAAACTGAGTGTGAGTAGGAATGGAATGGAGAGTGAATAGAACTTTTCTGCCATAATCTCTGTGGAGCCTTTTTCCCATACAGTGCTTTCAGCCCTTATGTTTCCTGCTAGTAACCAGTTTTCCAGCTGCTGAAATATATGCCAAGCTGTCACGGCTCCCATGAAATGACTGACAGGCCCAAAATAGCTCCACAACACTGTACACTAAGCCACATCCTCTCCTTCTCTGCTTCCTCATCGTGCTGGCTGGCACAGTACAGTATAAAATGAGCCTGAAAGGAGGGGGGAGGAATACATCTTCCACCTGTGTGCCAGCTCTCATGGAGGATATTTGATTGGTCTCCATCTGTGTTACAGTACTAAAGCAGCACAATGGAAGATTTGGAACAACAGTTATAAAATGAGACATTTAAACAAAGGGGATTGTAAAACCTTTTAGCCTTTGCCCTGCTTCATTTTGAACTCCCAAGGCCAAACTTTCCCGTTGCTCCTTTTATCTCTTGATTCCCTACTTTAGCCTTCCAGTCCCCTATAATGAGAAGAACATCTTTCTTTGGTGTCAGTTCTAGAAGGTGTTGTAAATCTTCATAGAACTGGTCAATTTCAGCCTCTTCAGCATTGGTGATTGGTGCATTAACTTGGATTACTGTGATGTTGAAAGGTCTGCCTTGGATTCGTATTGAAATCATTATCTCATTTTTGAGATTGTATCCCAATACAGCTCTCCCCACTCTTTTGTTGACTATGAGGGCTACTCCATTTCTTCTACAGGATTCTTGCCCACAATAGTATATATGGTAACTGTCTGAATTGAATTTGCCAATTCCTGTCCATTTTAGTTCACAGATGCCTAGGATGTCAATGTTTATTTTTGCTGTCTCCTGTTTGATCACATCCAGCTTACATTCCAGGTTCCTATACAGTATTTTTCTTTGCAACATCGGACTTTCCTTTCACTTCCAGGCACATCTACAGCTGAGTGTCCTTTCGACTTTGGCCCAACCACTTCATTAGCTCTGGAGCTACTTGTACTTGTCCTCCACTCTTCCTCAGTAGTATGTTGGAGGCCTTCCGACCAGAGGGGCTCATCTTCCAGCATCATATCTTTTAGCCTTTCGTTTCTGTCCATGGAGTTTTCTTGGCAATGATATTGGAGTGGCTTGCCAGTTCCTGTTCCAGGTGGATCACGTTTAGTCCGAACTCTCCACTATGACCTGTCCGTCTTGGGTGTCCCTGCACAGCATAGCCCATAGCTTCTCTGAGTTGCTCAAGGAGTTGCTCAAGCCCCTTTGCCATGACAAGGCAGTGATCCATTAAGGGGAGGATTTTAAATTACAGTGCAGTTGAAGAAAGATACAAGAAATATGTGCAGAACATATATGGGAAAATGGATTAGATTCTGACAAAGGAGGACTGAAAATTGTTGAGAGAGGACCAGTTATTTAAGACATGCAGATTACAAGATTTTACTGGCAGAAAATAGCAATAATATGAAACAACTATTGGTGAAAGCTGAAAAAGATATTGCAATGACAGCTGAACATTAGGAAGAGAAACATCAGTACAGGAGTATTATGCATAAGAAGACAACATTCATTCAGAGACAATAAGACTGCTGTGAAGGGGTCCCAGTGGGACCCATGGCCAGGCCTACCCAAGCATTCAACACCAATGGACACAGGATTAATCCAACCCCGAACCCCCCATTCCTGTGAGAGTACCTGCCTGTTGTGGGGACACAGATGTCAGGTCACAGATGGAGGTTGACAGAGAAGAACAGTGGTCTGATTCTTCAGAACCTTGTGAAAACCTCAAAACAGGTGAGCCTCAGGGTAGAGCTGGGCCAGAAGAGGCATGGGAACTCGTAGGAGTTGTGGTAGAGGACAGGGATTATTAGGGTATAAAGCCAGGATGGGGGCTTGAGTTGTGAGTCTCGCTGTCAAGTCAGACTTAAGTTGCACCAGTGACTCGACTCTAACTCAACTTGGGTATTTTTTTTTTCTTCAATGACTCGGACTAGACTCTTGACTTGGAACCCACTCACCCCTCCCTTTTTTCCTCTGGGGGGAAAAACATATTTTTAATAAGGACTCAGACTTGTGACTTGGGATATGGAACTTGGTACCAATGACTCAGACTTAGACTTGGGACTCAAACCCAAAGAATGGCCAACTTCCCTGATATAAAAGCATCAGCAAAGAAGGCTCAGGAAAGGATGCAGTACCAGAATCGGAGAGTGATCTAACAGTGGACAGGAGACTGGTGGCAGAGACTGGAGGAGGAGGAAACAGGAGAGGATGAAGAAAGACATATCTGGACACAGACACTGGACTTTTCTCAATGAGAACCTCCGAAATAAGCCATTCAAGGCTCTTGCTTTAATTGGCCTTGTGATGCCATTGTGCAGAGTAGACCTCCCCCAATCTTGCCCTTGGAGCTCCTACACTGACACGGTTACAGTGGTGAAGACGCCACTGGTTTGAACATCTCCACTGTTGGAAAGCAGAGGTGCCGGCCATTCAGAAATTGGCACACCCATGTCATGGCCGTGAGCAGAGATGTGGACAGAACTGAGTCACCTCAGGGAAGGGTGAAGTAACCACTCGCCATGTTCAGGACCATGATCTAGCTGTTAGATGAAACTGTAATGTCAAGTTGTTAGGTTGATAAACAGAGTTATATGTTTCATAGCCTTAAATCCTACCTTTACATCTGGACCAATGCGAGCTTTTGATGTTTCCTATGCATGGAGCACTTGGGGAGCAAGCAGGCAATAGAAAAACAGGAAACGTTATCATAAAATGGACTAAATCAATAAAGGAAGTAGGCCCTTGGTTTGCAAGACCTGAGCATGGCTGTTAATGATATGCCCTTTTGGAGGCATTAGTCCATGATGCTGTTGTAAATTGGAAATGACTCAATAGCATACAACATAACAAAGCAAAGTCAACAGGTACACTATGGTATGTAATAAACTGTACACTAAGAAAAAAAAGAATTTGCAATATTTAAGTTTTTCTTAAATTATGCACAGCTCCCCTAAAATCCAGGTACCGTATGTGTTCAATGTCCATGGCACTAAGCCAAGAGAAATGTTGAGACACACAGGACCAAAACCAAACTAGGCCTGAATCTAGTTTAGAGAGGAAAGCTCCTAAGATGCTAAGCATTCTTGATAGAGAAGATGATATATACCAAATAAATAGATTACAAGGTAATTAATTGCATGGATTTATGCTAGAATGTAATTGTAATTGTAGATGCATGTGAGGGAAGACAACATATTTATTATTTTTCTTCAGAATACTTGCTGTTGTTTTGTGTTGAGAGAACCTGAAGTATGGGATAATGCCTTCAGGCTTTAAAAGCACAATGCGGTAACTAATACTGTTATGTTATGGCAAGTTTGGGGCCAAGTGATTTCTGAGAGAGACCAGACTAAGTAGGTAAGTATCTGTTCTAGTTATGAGACATAAACCACACTAACCTTCCAAAGTGGAAGTTTTATCTTTAAGTGCAGAATTCAAAGGGACCATGGGAGGGAAATTAGGCATTTTTATCTGAGCTGGGAATCTTTATGTGGAAGATTAAACTGGCACTGCTGAATATAACTGGTGCAATCTATGTGGATTTGTGTAACACTTTAAAGTTCTATGGGGCTATTTGCTTACTGTTGATTAATCTTGCAAACACAATATCACAAAATTAATATCTTCTTTTTTGTATTACATGAGCAATTAGAGCAACAACTAAATGCTACAATTTGTGCACCCAAGTCCTTGGCAACAGAACCAATACAGGAGTTGCTTGTAGAATTAGCAAAATTCAAGTGTCCCTTTGATTTCAAAGTCACACAAAAATCCACGATATCTTCCTCAGCAAGAGTTGGTTAGCCATAACACAGGAGAATCTTCAAAATTCTAAACCAAGTTGGCAAGGTCTTCAGCAGCAACAGCAGCTCTGGCCTCTTCAGTTCTTCTGCTCTTTCTGATTCAACAATTTTTTCCTCACAGCCCTGCTCTTTCCTTGTCCCACCCGTAGAAACGGAACCAATATTTCATAGGAGTTACAGTGGCTTATGCATTTTGCAATGCCTGTTCCAACTACAGATTTCTTAAGGAAATTGTTAATACAATCCCTGTGGAAGGAGGCTAAATAGGATTCCACTCACAAAGACACACCTGTTTATTCAAGTATTGTATTCCTTTCATGACTTTGGAATGAGATCAGTTTTTGAAAAATAAAGTTTTGCAGTGTATCTGCATATAAAGATTTGTAGGAGCTTAGGTTTTCATGAGCATTTTAAAAAAATTCTCTAGATACATCAATTTTAGGAGGAACCAAAAAGATAAAAATATTAAATAAAATTTCCAGGAGCCCCCTTGTAGTTGGAGGTTATTTTAAACAAAAATAGCAAAAAGGGTGCAGAATTTTATGCATGGTAGAAAATGCCAGTACTGGATGATGATTCAATGTCAGAAATGTAGAAAGTGTACGTTCAGAATTAAAATATAGTATTTTCCTTCACAATTCTTGAAACAGGTTTTGGAGTTGTGTTACAACTTTGTGGCGGGCCTAAAAGAATATGCTCCCACTTTGACTACAGCACATAGATTGAACTTGGCCTTTTAGAAATTCAAAATATCACTATGCTAAATTGTAGGTCCTCCTCAAAATTTTCTCTCTGAAGCCTGCTGATGGGTGGGCATTCTGAAATAGGCTGTAATGTAAAACCAAGAAACTAGTAATCTTCTGTCATTTAGAGGAAAAGAAACAGCCTTGATAGTAATGCGGCTAGGAAATAAATACTTCAACTGGCCTCTTTCATCTTTTGCTTATTTTTGTTTGTTATGGAGTTGGCAATTCAAATCATTTCTTGCTAGTTTTAAAAATACTTAACACAGCAATGAACATTGAGGGTAAAGAAATCCTGTCATTTTCAATGAGTCAGCCGCCATGTGGCACATAATAACTGTTTAGGAATCATCCCTAAATGCTGCATGGTTGTTTGGTAATTTGTAATGTCAACTTAGAGGAAGTAATTCTATGGGCAAGCAATTACCTCACCCCTATGTTAGAAAAAAGTAACAAAGTATCATGTCACAGCCAAAAAAAAAAACCTTTAAAAAAGTTTATTGTTTTTGTATATCCTACTGAATTTGTTATATTTATTGCCTGAAATCCTGTTGGCATAAACGTATATCAGATAACATCTGATAAAAACTTCCCATTCCCTGCTGCTTCAGGTTCTGAGGCTCCCTCGGGACCTCTTTTGCCCCTGGGAAGCCTTTGGGAGTCTTGGGATAAAGGGGGAGCCTTTAATTCCGGGAAACCGGTACCCATTTGCCATTGGTGGTCCCAGTTTGGCAGTGGGACTTTTGGTGCAGATTTTCCAGTGAGAACGTCTCTCCCTCCCTTGCCCTGCATCCCAGGGTTCTTCTGTCCTTTTAATAATCCACAAACTCTGCTGATTAAACCTCTTATTTAGATGCTAAAGATATGGGTGCTTTTCAAGGGAAAAATGGTAGTAGTAAAATGGTCTGGAGTGCTAAACTTTTAGATTCAAGTGCGCAGTGTGCAATGAAACTCCCTGGATTAACTTGGAACCGTCACTCCTTCACTCTCATCCTGATTTACTTTACAGGATTATTGCTATGGATATTAAGACAGGGAAGAGGAAAGCCATGTATGCAGTCTTGAGCTCATGGGAAGAAAGGTGAGATATAACTGCAAAAAACAAACAAAATTAATGTTGCTAATTAACACTGTAAAATGGGGTGGGTGAGTAAGCAGGAGCTGGTGTCAGCCTCATCCCTGCAGAGATGGTCCAGCAAATGCACGTCAGCTTACCTCTTCTTTCTCTTGGTCATGTGAGAACTGAGAAGAGTGACAATTAATCAGTGATCTGAGAACAGCCCCCATCAGCAGTGAAGAAGATCAGCCTGAAAAGAGACTTGATGTGAAAATGAACCTAGTTCTGCAATCAAAGTTTGTAATAAAATGCGTGTCACCAAACTATATCCTGCTCCTGTACGATCCGATTGCTTGTAAATTATGTTCATCGCATTAGAATGCTTATGCTGAATTACTTGTTTACATACAATTTTTTGGTCTTGCTTTTCAGCACAATTAGTTCCAGAGATTACAATTGACTTCCTAATTATAGATTATTGTTAGATGCTCTGGGAAGCACGGGGTAAAAATTCATTAAATGAATGGGTGTAGTAGAAGGAAATGGTGTAAGAAACAAGGCTGTTTCACCAAACCTGTTGGAAGAGCAGCTCTGGAGAAGGATCCTCCCTCACCTGTCATCACCAGATACTGTAGCAGAAGTGAGATAGAAAGTCCTGCTGAAGGACTCCTTCCTTCCTTCCTTCCTTTCCTGTCCTCTTCCAATGGTGTGCTGTGTCTTTTTAAATTATGAGCCTGTGAATGTAGACAGTCTTCATAGGGGTTAGAGGAAAACCATACCAAAAGACTTTGCAGCTGAAGAGGAGAATTCGACTGCTTAATTTACTTATTTGTCATTTTTATAATCTTTCTTTCTCTTGGTGACGGCAAAGCAACATACATATGGCTTTCTTCCTCCCTTTTTTATCCTTAAAAAGTTGCTGAGAGAGTGTGAAGAGCCCAGGGTCAACCAGTGAGCTCCATGACTGAGGGGGTGATTTGAACCAAGTCTTTTGAGTTGAATCCAAAACTAAAAAAATTATACTACACAGGATCTCAATCAAATAGACAATAATTCACCCCATGAGTCAGAATAGCAGATACAGCTATAACAAAGTCATTCCCAGTCATAAAAAAGCCTATGCTATTTGTTAAAATCTTAATTTGCTGCTGAAAAGATACAAGGGTGGATCTCAGGGGAAAGCATTCCATTGGCTGGATGCTCTTGTTCAGAAGGCTACATCTCCAGTTTCCATTCATTTTACTTTAGATGGTGGGCAATCCCAGAAAGAGGCAAATAACTATAACTTGAGTGTGCTCAGGTTCATTGGTGGCTAGGCAGTTTGTCAGGTATCCTCATGCCCAGTCAGCACAAAAAAAGGATTATGTTGGAATTGGTATTCTTGATGAACACATTCATTTAGCACTGCTTGATACTCATGAGGGAAAAAAATTGCATATTTTCCTTGGAAATTCAGACAATTGCAAGATTTGCAGTACATTTTAGAGAAATAAAACATACACGTAGGTCTAAAAAATGCAAACAGCTAAAAATACCTAAAATTGACAGAGAAGTGCAAGCATATTTTTTTTAAAAAAAAGATAGCCAATGATATAGTGTATAGAATGACAGACTAGGACTCAGGAGACCCAAGTTTGAATCCCTGCTCAGCTATGGAAACCCACTGGGGGAGTAAAACTGGTAAAACTATCCTTTACTATTGCTTACTTTGGAAGCCCTATTAGGGTCACTATAAGTCGGTTCCAACTTGACACCACATAACACACATATTTAAGTAAATGAGACACATATTCAGAAATTAGTACATTCAAAATATGCACACATTAAGAAAAATGTTTATGAACTTGCGTAACAAATTTCCATGGAAATATTTAAAACAAAACCTTGTTAACTTGATACAAAATGAAAGATGCAATGAGAAAACAGATAGGATTTAGGGAAATGCAACAAAATCCAGAATTTTAAAATTGTTTTCAATGAATGCTGAACTGATATCAACGAAACTGAAAGTAGGGTGGGGCGTAATATTCTGTACCACAAGATGTGTAAATGAACCAGTAGCCAATGTAACAGCTAGATAGATATTCTACAAACCAGCCACATTTAGCAGTGGAGTAGATATATTTTGACATTGCAAAGCAGACTTCAAAGACAGTCATATACACAATGCATTACATTAGTTTAAGCTAGAGGTTATTGTCAATAATGCATCTCTACGTGCAGAGTGTGAAGAGCGAATGAACCACAGGAGGTTTTTGATTTATAATAATTTATAAAGCAGGCTATTTAAGGCTATTTAAAAGGGCTGTAATGAGTTCCAGTAATGTTTTTTGCTGGTCAACAACACAACTTTGGGATGATAAGGGCAAATGAGATGATGCTGATGAGGCTGATATATATATGTGCTGTAATTCCAATATTACTGGGGTTACCCTATCACACAATGCTCTATGAGAAAGACGTCCTACTGCCGATACGCTTCCAGTCGGAGTTCAAGGTGCTGCTGGTGATTTATAAAGCCCTAAACAGTTTGAGACCTGGATATTTAAAGGAGCACTTTTCCCTATGTAAAGCTGCCTCATCATTAAGGTCTGCTGGGGAAGCCCTCCTCTATGCCCTACCATTGGGAACAATTAATTATATGGAGAAGCGGGAGAAAATTTCTTCCGCTATAACACCCTCACTTGTGGAATGCCCTCCCCTTGGAAGCTCAATGGAAGCCAGCATTGGCTTTATTTATTTATTGCCCCGTTAGTACTGGTGCACAATTCTAGGCGGTTTACAAACAGTTGAAACAAACTACAACAAAGCAACAAACACCAAATTAGCGCACAAATAACAATTTCAGTGCCAAATGAATATATACTTCATTTGAGTCTTTCAGGATTAAGGATCATGGCCCATTAAGATGTTAGTGCAATGTTTTTAATGTTTTGATATTTTAATGTTTTAATTTTGGGTTGTTTGATTTTAAACTGTTTTCAATATCTTACGTTTAAAATTATTTTATACAGTTTTGTAACCCGACATGAGATCCTACAATATATCATCATAATCATCTTAGAACTGCAGAGGTAGATGGAACCCTCTGGCTCATTGTGAGATACCCTGCCCAAGGATGTCCCTGCCCAAGCGCTACCCATCCATTTGGGGAGGGGAGAAAGACTGGTTGAACTTTGGCCAGACAAGATTTGGGTGGAAAATGAAGTGACAACACTGACTAGAGAGAATGTGGTGGAAGGAAAGGCAAAATAGAAGGGAAGGAAGACGTCAAGTCATTAGAAGATGCAGGTAGAATGGCAGAGGAGGTGGCGGAGCAGTTAGAAAAGATGGGAATGAGAGAGAGAGAGAGAGAGAGAGTTATGCAGAGAAAGCAGTCCTGGATCATCTCAGGTAGGCTAAACCTACCTTTAGACCTGCATTGTTTGAATTTGACTCCACTATTTTCATGAGCTCCAGATTGCTCATTGATACATGGGCTTCTTTGCACAGGAATACTGACTGTCCCATGCACCTGCAGTAGCTACCACTGCCTCAATGGAAGGAATTGGACCCTCCTGTAACCTTGATGACCACATGAGTGGTCTGGTGGCCCTTTCCACATCAGACACAGATGCTACCTGTCATTCCACAAAAATACATTTTTGTTGTTGTTTAGTCGTTAAGTCGTGACCGACTCTTCATGACCCCACGGACCAGAGCATGCCAGGCCCTCATGTCTTCCATTGCCTCCCAGAGTTGGGTCAAATTAATGTTGGTAGCTTCGATGACACCATCCAACCATCTCATCCTCTGTCATCCCCTTCTCCTCTTGCCCTCACACTTTCCCAACATCAGTGTCTTTTCCAATGAGTCTTCTCTTCTCCTGAGATGGCTGAGGGTTGATTTCCTTCAAAATGGATAGGTTTGTTCTCCTTGCAGTCCAGGGGACTCTCAAGAGTCTCCTCCAGCACCACAATTCAAAAGCATCAATTCTTCAGTG